AAATTTTTTGCTTTAATGCAAACATAATCTTAATAATACGCATGTAAACATTTAAGTGCAAAAATGTAAAAAAAACAATCAACGTTTTTATTTATTTTTATAACCACTAACAAAATGTAGGTGGATATATTGAGTTTGTCATAGCTTTTGTAACACTCAACAAAAATGTTTGCACAACTTTTTTCTGGTTCACCATCCAACAGTTAGTCTGACTGCTTTTTATCATAATGTTCGATTGGTCCTTAAAAGAGTGTAAATTTAAATTCTTCTAGACCCAATACACTCTCCCTATTCGTTATGTTTAAAAAGGAAACTACATTTAACAGCTTAGAAAAAATTTATGGGCTTGAACTATACAACCTAATGAAATGGGGAGAAAATACTAAATAAAAAATACCATAAAAATGGTGGATAATTTAATACCAAATATATATGCCTCAGACACGCACTATTTACAAAAGTGTTTAGCAAAAACTTACATTTATCATTCATACAATAAACTGGGAGTTCAATAAAATTTTATTAAATTTTTAATTTAATTTGTTAAATTTTCCTTTTTTTAATTTATAAATTAAAATTTCATGTCATTTTATTTATATATGTATGTATGTGTTTGTTTACACATATTAAATATTCATAATTTCCTTTAAATGTTTAACGGTTTAAATCCATAATACTGTCTTTTTCAATAAACTAAATTAACATTTAAGCGGGGGATTACTGTAAACCCTAATGACACGCAAACAAGAATGTGACAAGCGGAAGTGTAACAATTCTTTTTTTTTATGATGACAAAAATGGAATGAGTGAAAAAAATGTTGTAAATTAAAGGAAAAATACAAAAGTTTGCACAAAAATTACTTAAAGCTATTTTAAAATACTTATTTAAAAACTTTTTTGAAAGTAGTCCCTTGAAATTAGATTATTAACAGACAACCAGAGTGTTCAAATGATAGAAATGACCAGATTTTACAGTTTTAAAAACTTAAATTTGTAAACATTTTATATCAAAACAAACTTTTGTATAGAAATTTGTGTCAGGAAAACATTTTTTATATATTTTCTACAGGAAATTTATGTCAAGACAGGATTTTATAAAAAATTTATGTCAAGACAACTATTTTTGTAGACATTTTATGTGGAAACTAAATTTTATATGGAAATTTTATGTTATGTAATCTATCTATAGAAATTTTGTGTCAAGACAAAATTGTCTATAAAAATATTATGTCAAGACAAAATTTTCTAAAGAAATTTTATGTTAAGACAAAATTTTGGGTACAAAATTTTATATAGAAATTTTACGTCAAGACAAAATTTTCTATAGAAATTTTATGTCAATATATCTATAAACATTTTGTGTCAAGACATAATTGTCTATAAAAATATTATGTCAACACAAAATTTTCTACGGAAATTTTATGTTAATACAAAATTCTCTATAAAAAATTTATGTTAATACAAAATTTTCTATAAAAAATTTATGTCAAGACAAAATTTTCTATAGAAATTTTATGTCAAGACAGAAATTTTCTATAGAAATTTTATGTCAAGTCTATGTCTATAGAAATATTATGTCAAGACAAAATTTTCAAAGGAAATTTTATGTTAAGACAACATTTTCTATAAAAAAATATGGCAAGACAACATTTTCTATAAAAAAATATGTCAAGACAAAATTTTCTATATAAATTGTATGTCAAGTAATATATCTATAGAAATTATTTGTCAAGACATTATTGTCTATAAAAATATTATGTCAAGATAAAATTTTCTAAAAAATTGTTAAGATAAAATTTTGTATAAAAATTTTATGTCAAGATAAAATTTTCCATAAAATTTTATATCAAGATAAAATTTTATGTCAAGATAAAATTTTATGTCAAAATAAAATTTTCTATAAAAATTTTATGTCAAGACAAAATTTTTATGCCAAGGTAAAATTTTATAGAACCAAGACAAAATGTTTCTAGTGGTCGCTCTATTTTCTTATTTCCTGTCACAAAACTTAATTATTTTACAATTTCATTCTGTTTCATACAATTACAATTTCATTCTGTTTCATTAAACAAATTACAACTTTTTTATTATTTTTTTTATAACAAAATAAAGCAAATTGTCTTCTCTAAAACTCCCTTTTCATTCCTATTCCACCAAAACATTAAGAAATTACATTTAATTACATTTTTTTTTTAAATTCGGCTTAATTTTCAAAATGTCAATTAAAAAAGCTATTAAGAAACATTTAAGTTTTTTGTTGTTATTTTTGTAAATCACATTGATTTTAGATCAGACCATTAAATGACCTTCGTAAGCTCATTATATGAAGTAAAGTTATATCTACTGATGCTGCTGATAATGATGATGATGCTGCTGCTGCTGATGATGACAATGATTGTGATAATTTAGCAGCAAATGTCTGTGATGTATTGAATAACATGAACAAAAAAAAGTGATAGAAAAAAATGGACAACACATAAACAACAACAAATGAATGAAACGTGATATAAACAAAAGTGGAATGTAATGAAAGGCGGTTTAAGCGAATCCTAAAATGAGCTAAATACCAACAAAGAGACAATTGATGGGTTAAGAAGATCAAATTTTCCAAAACTAATTGTTCTTTATCAGAAAATGTTCTGTCAATTCAACTACAAGTACAACAGACATAAATACTAAACAATAAGAAATTTTTATTATTTTAAAAGGTTTGAGGTTTTCGACTGGTACTATGGAAATTATTAAAAGCTTACTGTCAGTTACGGAAACTTGTTTATAAACATAAAGCTAGAATAGTGTAAAATGCTTGTTTTCAATATTTTGTTTTACGGAGCGTATGATTAATATTAATTACGGACTTTTTTTATAATTATCTTCATAACTTTGTTTACAGACACCTTAGCTTGATGAAATAAATTTCATAAAATAAAGCGTATTATAAGGAAATTTTGAAAATATTTCAAATTTAAAAAAATCACCATTTTACATAAAGTTTATTTGAACAAAAACTAGCTTCTAGGCAAATTTTCAAATGGGACTTTTATAGATAGTTTTCTATACAAAATGGTCCTCCGCTAGGAGATGCTATAAAAAACACTAGCTTCAGCTAGTTTTCTATAGATTTTCTGTAAGAAACTTATGTCAAGACAAATTTTCTGCAAAAAAGTTATGTCAAAACTAATTTTTCCATAGAAATTTTATATCAAGACATAATTTTCTAAAGAAATTTTATATCAAGACACAATTTTCTAAAGAAATTTTATGTCAAGATAATTTTTTAAAGAAAATTTTGACCCAAATTTTATTATAAAGCAATTTTAACATTAATTTTATTCTAAAGATATTTTATGTCAAAACAAAACAGTCTAGAGCAATTTATATCAAGACAATTGTTTTGAAAGAAGACGTTTCTCAAAGACAAATTTTTATATCAAAATAAAATTTTCGAATGTCAAGACAACATAATCTGTTATAGCAATTTATACATAAAATTTTCTTCTCAGTTTTCTGTTGAACAGGTAGTTTCCTATATAACATTGTCTTTTTGCTGTTTTTTTAGAATAATGACTTTCTGTAGAAAATTGTGTTCTTTCGAAGTTTTTTATAGGAAAAGATTTTGTTAGAAAAGTTTTTTATAAAAAAGTTTATCAAAAAGTATCTTCTTGGATCAGTTTTCTATATACAGAACGTAAAACTGTGTTCTTTGTATGTTTTCTATATTTTTTCAAGAAAGTATTTTATAAAAAAGTATTTTCTTGCAAAAACCTTTTATAGAACAGTTTTTTATAAAAGTGTGTCATCAGTTTCGTATAAAAAAGTATTGTCTTGATTCAGTTTTCTATATAACATTGTCATCTTGTGATAGCTTCCTATAGCAAAGTGTTTTCTGTATAGAAGTATCTTATGGGAATATTTTTAATCGTCAGTTTCTTTGAGAAACAGTTTCATTTTCTTGGCTCAGTTTTCTATGGAACTGTTGCTTCTAGTGTCAGCGTTCTATATAAGTGTATTCCTGAACAATTTGGAAAGTAACATCTAGGAGCAGTTTTATACAGAAAAGTTTATTTTTTCGACAGTTTTCTATAGCAAATTGTTTTCTGCATAAAACTGTCTTATGGAAATAGTTTTATAATCGTCAGTATTTTCGAGGTACAGTTTAATTGTCTTGCCGCTGTTTTCTATAGAACTGTTGCTTCTAGTGTCAGCGTTCTATATAAGAGTATTCCTAAACAATTTTTTGTTGGAAATTAACATCTAGCAGCAGTTTTATATAGAAAAGTTTCAACAGTTTTCTATAGACAAGTTCTTCATGGGACAGTTTTCTGCTTCTTCTTCTTCTTTAAACAGTTTTTTATTAGAAAGTGAGTAGTTTTCTATAGAAAAGTTTTATTTTTCGACAGTTTTCTATAGATAGGTGTCTTCATGGGATAGTTTTATATTACAAAGTATCTACTAGAGGCAGTATTCCATAGAACAGTTTAATTTTCATTTCGGAAGAGTTATTTTTACAGTTTTTTATAGAATGGTTTCTTTGTTTTGAGAAGTTTTTATTAAAAAAGTTTATCGTTAGAACAGTTAATAATGCAATCTATTTGGACAGTTTTCTGTAGTTATAATACTGCTTTGAATAATGTTGTGTTATCCATTCTTAAGATAGTTTTTGGACATTTCCGTAAAGAAAATTCTTTCTTTATAAATACATTTCCATAAAAGAATATGGCAAAAGCCACATTTCTTAAAATATAATATTTTGCAGATCCTTTTTAAAACTTTTTAAAATTTAAGAAAATGTTTAAATCTGCCGCAATCTCTAAATAGGGTGTCTATCTTCCTTGAAAAACACTTATCTAACGACAAAATCTTAAACTTTTCAAAGTGCTTGATGAAAAGAGTGCAAAAAAGAATTGTTTGCCATATTCTGGGCATAAACTTAAGTGTTACGAGAAACAATGAAACAACAAAAATAAGTTTCAATAAAAGTTTTAACAAATTTCAATTACCGTTCTGTTATGTATTTTGTATTTTTTTGTTTCCTTTGTTTAGCAAATCCTGTAGATTGTGGTCCTTATTATGGAAGTAATTGTGATGAAAATAATATCCTTTGATTTTTTTCGTTTACTTTTTTTTTTTTTTTTTTGCTTTAAATGTTATCAAATATTTAGTCGTTGTTTAAGTCTTTTTTTCTTGAAAAGTAGACAATCGTTGCTTTTGGTTATTTAGTTTTAGACAAATTTAACAATTCTGGTTATTTTTAGGATTTAAATATATAACTATCCTGTTTGTTTAAAACATAAAAATTTGAATTATTTGAAATTCCACCACACTTTAATCCTTAGCCGGTTTTATTTGGCAAGTTTTAAACACTTTTTAACATTTTTAAACTTATTTTTTTCCTTAAAGGTTTTTTTTATAAAATATAAATTTATTTTTAATACCAAACAATCATTTATTTTTTCTTTATTTTTCTATAAAAACCACATTTTTTTTTTTTTTTTTTTTTTTGCAATATTGAAAAGATTTCGTTTATATTTCTTTATTATTTTATAGAATTTTCGCGCTTTACACAAAACATTGTTGTGTTTCGTTTTAAGGTCTATTTAAGACTGTTGTATCTTTTAGACGGTTGTTTTGGTATCATTAAGAAAATCTGGCCAAAAACAACAAAAAAACAGTTTTTTGTTTATAAACTGCTCCCCCATGTTAAAATGTTGTCTCTGTTAAAACAGCTGTTTAATATTTGTTATTAAGTATTAAGTATCGAACTTGCAACTCAAACCTAACAACTTGTTGCCAACAACACAAAATGTTTGAAGACCAATATACCTACCCTTTCCTTTAAAGAATTTCTTTTGTGTGTTTTTTGCTATAAATCACTTTTACTTTTATAACCAAGTTTAAGGTAGAAAGCAATGCTTTTTCTTTCATTTCTTATGGCTGCTGCTGTTTTTGATGTTTTCAGATAAATTTTCGGCTTTTTGCTGCAAATTTGTTTTATGTGTCATAGCATGTGTGTTTTTAATGGACATGTTTTAAATGTTCAGAAAATAAAAAAAATATTTATTTAAATTTTAATTCAGTTTTATATCTGCTATTAAAAAAGAAAACTTATTTAAAAGACATACACTTTTGTTTATTGAATTAGTTTGAAATTGCTTTTGTGCATTCATTCACTTTGTGCTAAAGGAATTAATATTTTGTTAAATACAACTTTGAGAAAACTTTATTAAGATTTCCAAGATTTTTCATTAATAACACGAAAATCTTGCATTTCTTTAAATATATTTTTTTAATTTTCTATCAAAAATTAATTTTAAATTATTTTCTTTAAACCTTTTCAACACTAAAATAATACCAAAAATCTTCTCTATTTTATAGAATTATTTCATTCTGCTAGCAGTTTTACAAAAAAAAGTTATTAAGACATTTTTCAAAACATGTCAGTAATTAATATCAATCATACGCCCTGTATTTGCTTTACAGTTTAAATTAGATTAACAGTCAAATTTAAAGCAATTTGATTGATTTCAAGTAATAGTTACATTACATTTCAAATTTGTCTTCAATAATTTGTCTTAAAATAAAAATTTTCATAAAAAAATCACACATAGAGTATGATTAATATTAATTACGAACCTGTTTGATAATTTTCCCCAAAACTTTTACCATTGATGTGTTATCTTTTTTTTTAAATAAATTCTATATAATTTAATAGGTTTAAAGCTTAATTCGGAAAATATTTATTTTATTTAAAAAACTGGTTAAATATTTTTCAATGAATTTTGAAACAATTTTTTATAAAATAAATTTTTAAAATTTTTGAAAATTTTTCCAAGTTATTCTTATGTTTTTATACCCTACACCACTTTAGTGGGGAGGGTATATTGGGTTTGTGCTGATGTTTGTAACGCACAATAATACTGGATCTTAAAGTATACATATGTATGTCCATCCGTCCATCCATATAAACCTTGTAATCAAACTACAGGTCGCAATTTTGAAGATAATTCAATGAAATTTGGAACATGATCTTCTATTAGTACTAGAGACGAAGCCTATTGAAAATGGTTAACATCGTTCCATTATTATTTCACTTAGCCCCCATACAACTGAACCCCCGCATAGGTCTTTTAAGTTCATAGTTATGTTTAATATACTCGTATCTCAACAAAAAACTGCAAAACCAAGTTCTATACTAGCCTTGATGACCCTCATGAGTATTATAGTTATAGGGCCTCATTTGACTCTAGCCCCTATACAAAGCCCACTTCAAAATTTTACTTAAATGTCAACAATTTTATTCAACAATATCTGCGGCAAAGTACAATTCAACACAAATGCTTTATTATGAACACTAAATCACATTTTGTTTTTATAACTGGTGTAGGGTATTATATGGTCTGCCTCCCCCGACTATAATTTCTAACTTGTTTAAATTTAATTTTGTTATAATTTAAATAACAGCATTTTTATTAGAAATCATACAGAGCGTATGATTAATATTATTGACAGACTTGTTTGGTAATACAGAGCGTATGATTAATATTTTTGATAAACTTATTTGATAATTTTCTTATTAACTTTTTTACCAAAACGTACAATATAACCAAGTAAATTCCTTCAAAATTTACCTTGTAGTATATACTGCCAATGCCGCTTATATTTGAAAGTCTGTTAAATATTTTTAATGAATTGTGGAACTAAAAAAAATATTTTTGATGAGTATTAAATTAATTTAAATTTAATGACAAAATGAGACATTTATATATATAAAATTCTTGAGAAATATCTTTACTTAAAACACAGATATTGAGATGAATTTGATTAAAATGTAGATTTTTAAATTAAATTATAGGGAGCGTATGATTAATATTAATTACAAACTGGTTTAGTAATTTTCCTTTAAATTTTTTTTATATAAAGATATAATTTAACCAAATAAATTTTTTAAAATTCATCAGATTTCAAGCTTAATTAAAATAATGTATTTTTTTTAATTTTGTATCTTTTGAAGAATTTTTTAGTGAATTTTGAAAAAAAATTATAAAATTAAAAAATTTAATCTATTTTATAATTTCTTACAAATTTATCAATTTGAATTTTGAAATTTATAAAATCTTTTATGTTTTAATTTATAGCACTTAAGTTTGTAGCTAAATTTTCATGAAATATACATCAATTAAAAAAAACTCTTACAGTACGTATGATTAATATTAATTAACGACTTGTTGGGAAATTTTCTTTATAAATTTTTTTCCTAAATCATTAAATTATAAAGATTTCAGGCTAAGTAACACTGAGTATATATTTTTTAATAAAAATTTTGTTTAAACATTTTTTAAAGAATTTTGAAAAAAATAAATTAAATTAATTTTTTTAATATTTTTTTTTTTAAATTTATCAACTTTTTGCTAAATTTGTATTCAAATTTATTTATAATTTATTTTTGGCTTATATTTACAGCTAAATTAAAGAATTATTCGAAAAGAAGTAATACAGAACGTATGATTAATATTAATTACTGACTTTAATTTATATATTTGTAAAAATATGTTTTTTATTTGCCTACACACAACCAAAATAATTATATGAAATTATTAAAATAATGTATATTTCGTAATAATTATAATTGCGGAGATAGTGATTTTTCAAAAATTACCAACTTAGTTTGAAATTTTATTTATAACTTTTGTCGCAACTGCTCAAACTTTACCAAAAAAACTTCATAGAATTCTAAGCAGTTCCAGCTAAACTCAAGCAATATCTACTATTAAAACCTTAAGCATTTTTAATCATTTTTAAAACCCGCAATATATGTTTTCCTTTTATATTCAAAGGATCTATAACAAATCACTGCTTGGTAGTTGTTTAAGGAAAATACATTTTGTTAAATATAAGCCCTCTCTAGTTTCCTTTTGCTATAAACCAAAACTGCATTAAAAAAGATTGTAAAATTAAATTTCTGTTTTACTTCCTTGCAGCAGCTTTATTTTTATAGCAGCATTTGGTATTTTAATATCTTTCTTAAAAACCCCTGCAGCTTAAACACCTCCATAAATATGACATATATTTACACCACAAAAGTAATGAAAAACATTTTTTTTAATTTAAAAGCCTTTTTTTGTGAAAAGATAAAAATTTTCCCTCAAATTTTCACACATTTCATTATTTTTCGCTATGTTGGCGCAGAGTTGTTTATAAAAATAGATAATTTTTCCTTATTATTTATATTCATCATATGGCGCTTAAGATTTTTCAAATTTAAATTTTTTCTTTCATCAAACAACAAAATGAAGAGCAACATTTTTTTTTAATTATTATTGCCATATAATAAAATACCAAAGAAAATACGCAAAAAATGTGTATGTTTTCCCCATATCACAGACACACACACACACAGTATGTTTGCAAAGTGTTGTCAAAAGAAAAATTCTTTAACGCTTCAAATAGATTAAGGCCAATTAATTATGGAAATTAAATAAAATTTAATTACTTTCAAATGAACTTTGGTTTAACATTTTGCGGCTATTAAAGTGTAATTAAATTTTGTATAGATTTGAAAATATAATATTTTCTCTAAAGGTATGCTATTTTCATTATTTATTTGTTTGTTTTGCTAATTTTGGCGCAAAGTAAAAAAAAAAAAAAAAAACAAATTTAAAGATTTGTTTTTAAAGTATTTAAAAAGTAATAAATCTTTTAGCAAGATTTCTGTGAAGATTTCAAATTTTCTGTAATACATTTTCTTTTTTTTTCAAATGCTATTAAAAGTGTGAAATGATTAGAGAAATTGCTTATTTAAACTGACGTAGATTTTTGCTAAAAACAAATGCTTTGATTAACACAAAAAAAAATATTAAGAATCACCAAAGAGTTTGTGTTGGTGTTTTAAAAGAAACATTTGTAGTATTTTTTTCTTTGTTTATTTTTCTTTTTAATCAACACATTATGAAAAACGCATTCATAGCTTTAGCTTTGTAACACGCGCAGACTTTCCGCATATTTAAACACACAGACACTTTTTTAATCATACAAATTATTTATGATTGCACTTTTGCTTGTTTGATTTTTAATTATTTTACATTTTAATCTTTTTTGGTAATAGATTCATTATTTATGTATAAGCTATAATAAACAAAAAAAAATGATTTTGATATACATATATGTATAATCAAGCAGTGAACTAAATTATATACCAAAGGATTAAGAAGTTTTTAGGCAGACATTTAAAGCTACACACTAACAGAACCGTTTTGTATATTACAAAGTACAGTACTAAAGAAAACTTCTGATATTAGAAATTCAGGTTTTTATTTTGCCCTACCAGGCGTATGACTAATATTAATTACTGATTTTGAATATCAATTGAACTAGAACTGTTCGAGGACTGAACAAGAACTGAACTAGAACTGAAATATAACTGAACTAGAACTAAACTAGAACTGAAGTAGAACTGAACTAGAACTAAACTAGGACTGAACTAGAACTAAACTAGAACTGAACTAGAACTAAACTAGAACTGAAGTAGAACTGAACTAGAACTGAAATAGAGCTGAACTAGAACTGAACTAGAACTGAACTAGAACTGAACTAT